GTAGCTGGCACCCATAAATCTCCAGCAGTTTGCCTGGCTGTAAAAAAGGTGATTTACATACTCGAGGAAGCCCAAGTTCGGATTTGAAGCTGAGCGTTAACTCACTTTCGCCGCGTGAGAGTGAAGAAGCAGCAAAGAAATTAAATCCAATTTTGCCCGTCTGCATTTGCCAAACTTAAAAACAAAACGGCAAAACGCTGGCAAACAAGTAAACACATTTTACTTTTTTCACATTTCAGCCCGGTTTCTTATTTATAGCATTTTGCATGCATATTTGATCAAAAACAATCAAATTTTATGAGAGAGTACCAGACTCATCTTGATATGTTTTGGGAAAAACAAAATTGAAAGGAGGTTTTTCTGTTTTTTTTAACCTTTTGTGCGTTGCATAAAGATAATTTTTATGAAAGTCTTTTTTCGGGAAAGGAAGTGCTGAAATAAATTAGGGGGACTATGTTAGCTGAAGTGTTATTAATGAGTTGTGTTCATTGTTTTTATCAGTCGGGTGAAAGGGTAATTAGTTGATGATCATTTATTAAAATTTAAAAAAAATTAAAATATGTACAAGGTGGCGCGTGTTTAATTCCAAACCTTATGTTATATAAAAAATGGGTTTTACGAAGATCAAACATTTTAAAATGTATGGTATTAACCGTTAACTTGATGCTAGAATAACATTTTTAACCTCTGCCTTGGTTGCTGAATGACTATCTCGTTTTAAACACGCTCCCCAACGACTTTGAACTAGTTCCACGGCACAACTAATTCCACCTTCCGCTCAACCTCACCTTTTGCCCGGCCATTTACACTTGGCAAATTCAAACTTGAAACCCGCCAGAAGACAAAAATTCATCATTGTCATCATCACTTTGCTGTTACGCATTGCTGGCCACGCCCCCTTGTCAAAGCCCATATTTGTATATCAAGTGAAAGCTATACACATAATTTCCACTTGTCTGTCTACGGCCGTGTGTTTTTTGCCTTTGGCACTTGCTTTATTTTTAGCCAAAAGTGTTGCACTTTTTTCACATGATTGTGTTAATCAGCTTGTGCCTTTCTTATAGGGTCTATGTACTAAGCTAAAAATAATGCGAATTTGTTTGCATTTTATCCGTAACCCAGGTCGACATTTGACCGTTTTACATAAGGTAGAAAAACTCTTTCGTCCCATTTGCCGTGGGAGAGGGCGTTTGTTTTTGGAGTCCACGCAGGCATATCCAAAGTTTTTGTTTTTACGACCAACTAATAACAGCCGTATAGTTATAGACTGCTGGTGGGCGTTTGTTGCTCTCTGGAATTGGCCCAGTAAAATTGTTGGCCGTCTCTTCTGAAAGGTGCTAAACGGCTGCGGTCATAAATTGCTATAATGTATACAAAACATGTGAATATTTTGTGGGCTTTCACTTGCCAAAAGTTGCGTGCGAAATTATCAGTGAAAAAGGGAGCGAAAGGTGGGCGGAGGGCCTAGAGTTTCACCCGATCATGCGGGTTAGGTGTGAAGTTTTTGGGAAAATGCTGTAAAGTGCGGGCTTATAGGTAGCTATATTGTGTCCTGTTGCTCTGCTTATTTTGTTGGGTAAACTTTTTGAAATCATGATATTGGTGGCAGATAGTGGGATATTTTATTAAAATTTTGTTTAAGTACTACATTTTTTTTGATGCGTAAAAATTGGCAATAAGGATAGTTACGCAACTGTTCAACACCTATTTAAAATAGTGAAGTGAATTTTATTATTGCTTTGGTAACTAGTTAATAGTAAAACTACCATAAAATGGTAATTTGTGTTTTTTTTCTTAGTATTGTAATTATTTCGTTGGTGAAATTGACAATTTGATGGGTTGGGACCATTTAACTATTGTGTTGGTAATGTTTACCTTAAAACTTTTTTTGCGTGTAGTAAAATATAATAAAAATGAGTTTAAAGTTATACGAACATAAATACGACGATGTCTTTAAGGGTTATATTTAAGAGAGTTATATTTTAATATTTTACGTATTGTCCTCGTTTATAATAATGTGTTTCAACTTCTTTCTGTGAGAGTAACAGCGATGAATGCGTAATTGCATCCTAAAAACAGACGACTTAAAACATAATTTTGGATTTTAATTAATATTTTTTAATTTGCCACCCGCCGCAGACTGTCGGCAATAATTAACTTTCCCGCGACCACCGGCAGCGTGTAAAATTCCCAATATAACATCATTTCCATTGCAATAAGACAGACAAAATAAGACAAAACGCAAGACAAAGCTGGAAACAAAATAAAGAAAACAAATCACATCACTGAATGTAATTACGCGAGTGTGAGTGACTGCATGTCGTGGCGCCCGAAGAAAGAAGAAATCGGTAAGAAAGAGAGACGCGCAGAAGAAAGACTCAGAAAGCCGAAGAGCCCGCTACAGTCTCTTCGAAGAAGCCCGGCTTGAGTCTTCGCCTCTTTTTCCCAGCTGACCCGCTTTTGGGGCGTTCTAAATAATTTCTGTCACGCTTCGGCTTGCAGTGAAAATAAGAGTAAGTGTGTGTTAGGTAAGCCCTAATCTATATGGATAATAAATCAGAGAAGGTAATTTATGCTAATTCACGGGAAAGTGTTGCATAACCAAATTCGATTCTACTCGGTCGGTTGATTGAGACCGTCTTCATAAGTCGAATTCGACAGCTTTTATCAACCGAGTGCAACGAACTCATTTTCTCCGATGCGTATTTATCGCGTGCCTGGTTAATGAAGCTGCCAAACATCTGTCGGAGAGTTGTTTAAGCAAAACCAATTAATTTAATTAATTAATATCAATTTGGAAACGCACAAAAGAGCTGTGCAAATAACGGCAGTACGCACATTGGGAATTTGTTTTTCACTCCAGCACAGCACAATTCTTTTCGCCCGCCATAAATCATATCCATATTTAAATATTTGCATAATTTTGCTGTGCAAATGTTAAGATTGTCTTTTCGCCAAATCGCTGGGCAAACGGAAATGGATAAAAAACAAATGTTTACCTGATTGATTGGCAGACTGACTGAGTGACTGAGTGACCAACTGATTGACTGAGAGTTTGCAGCTGCATGAAATTGTCAAAACGAGCGTGAAATTTATGCTACTGCGAGCGGTAATCACAGAAAGTGCATATCTACACTTAAATCATCTGTTTAATTAATGCCAGTAATTCATACATTAAATGTAATAATTTGTTCTGTAAATAAACGGGGAAAATGGTCTTGGCAGCGCGATAATAAACGACGGCTTAATAAATAGGGGAAAAAAGTTTAATTGAGTTTAATATTACGCAAACCTTAAATGGGATAGGTTCAGAAAGGCTGTTTAAATTTAAATGGTAAAGAACTTTTCTTGTCATCAATGTTTTTAAATATCTTACTACTTTAATGCTTTAACTATTTTCGTGGCCAAAATTCACACTTGTATGCAAATATCTGTTAGCCATGACTCCAGCCCGTTTCGCTTTAATGAAAAGCAAATTCTCACACCCTTTTTAAAATCAACAAAAGCTGAAAAAATAGTTTCCCAAAAGCCAATTAGCCCATAACATGTGTAGTCGGTCTATCATTAGTTTACATCTCGACGCACTCGTTGCCACAATTTTGGCCATGCAAACGTAAAAAAGAGCGAACATTGCACAATAGCGGACGCAGTGGCTGAGATCTCTGGCCTAAACACCTTTTAATAGCCAAAATTGTTATGGGCGGCCGCAGAAACCGCCGTCCGACGACCATCAACCATCGACTAATGAGCGGGCAGTCAAGTCAGCGGGTCCTAACTTTTATCTGAGCCAGGCCGAACTGAACTGAGCCGAGCTGCGTTCTGTAAAAGGCCAGAACAAACACTGAAAAATGTAATCTCACACAAAGCAGTTCGAGGGAAGGTGGTAAGACGCAGCGCTTTTGGCTACTTGAAATAGTTGAAGTTGTGCTCGGCTTTGTGGTTTTCCTCTTTTCATCTCTGTAAACTGGCCCCAAGGTGCTACACCAAATGAATTATGAGAAGACTTGAAAATAAAAAACAGCAATAAAAAAATTATAAACAAGACTGTAGCTTTGTAACTAGAGCAACAATTGAAAAAAGCCAGCCACATAAGTGCACAAAGAGAAGTTTTGAAAATAATGAAATAAATGCAAATGTTATAGATATATCAAGAAATTTAAAGCCTATACTAAGAGTGTTCTTAAATATGATTATCAATTTTTGCAGACTAAGTACTTTATCAGTTTTGTAAATCGCTTTGTAAAAGGGAAAATCTATTTTAATATAAGTATTTGTTTTAAAAAACTGTGCTTTGCCAAAGAGCACAGTTTCAGAAATTTCAAACAAATGCCTTTATATTTTCCTAAGTGTAGAAATGGATACAACTAATTTATTGGATGCCAGCAATTAAATTCCAACATAAATGCTTAAGCTATCTATTTAAGTGGCCAACAACTTATAAAACATTTTCAACAAAAATGTTTAAATCATAATAATATACCGTATTATGAACTTTATTTTTTATTGATAGCCAAATTAATGTACAAATTTTTAACGCTTTTGAAAAAACAAGATCATTCAGATCCAAAAGCAACTAAAGAAGCAAATTACATTTTTTCATGTGTAGAAATAGCTGCAATTAATTTACTTGCTGGCAGTACTTAAAGTCCGACAAAAATGTTTGAACTGTTTTTGCGAGCAATTGAAGTTTTTATTTAATTATATTTATCAAATGCGGCGACCCTGAAATGTCTTTCACTTTTAGCCAGCTGCGAAAAACGGAAAGTTAAACGCTTTTTATGGAGAATCGAGAGCAGAGTCTGCTTTAATCTTCAGCCGTCGAGGCGAACGCAATCTTCGGTCTACCAACTCAATTCTCTGGCCATTCAATAGCAATTATGACCGGTTTTCAATTAAACTGAAACTGGAACTCAATTGCATTTCCTCTTTGAAACGAACTCCATTCTCGAGTGAAAGAAATCTTTTCTCCTCTGGCTTTTTCTCGGCCGGATCACACTTACCGCTTGGGATACGGTATACGCCGGTATTTAAAGGCATTTTCCACGTCGCGCAGCTTCATTTTGTACGATCGTTCGGCGTTCAGAGACATCCAATGGGGATTACACAAAAACACAATCGATTTAGATCTTTTTCGAAGACCTTTCTTGGCCGAAAGAATTTTCCGGTCGGCACTTGGGTTCACTCCGATTCACGAAGAGGTATGAAGATAGAGACGTCCGTAGAGCTCGGCGATCGCGGCTTGACTGAATGTTCCTGGGGGCACTTGGCCGCCTTTTTGGCCAACTTTAAGACGTTGGCAGCGGCTTACCGCTGTTTGCTTTTACCATTTTCTTCTGCGGCCAAGATCGCTCTCTTCGGCTCTGTTTGCTCGCTCTTTTCGCCGCTCTTTGTTCGGGGTTTGACTGACGGAGGGGACGTGACTGTAGTCCATTTGTCTGTGGTAACAGTTTTATTATTACCCGACATCTGACATTAATCTACTTAGACATATTTATTTAGGTCGTTTAAACAGCAGATCACATTATTCTCCGCGCAAGGAATCTAATTTGGGCACTTGTTTCAATATCCTCTATTGAAACAGCTGGCTGTTCCAACTCTAACTATAATATTAACCAAAAAGAACATTCTGTATGATCTTAACCACGTTGGCAAAAAGAATAACTTGGAAATCAACTCAACTTGTTTTAATTTTTTAATAGGAAGAGTATTAGAATTAAAAACAGGTTTACCTTTGAACTTCTCCCCCTTGTTGGGAAGTCGAAAAGCTGACCTTCCCGCTTTTGTAATTTCCATCGATTAGTTTTTGCCAGTCGTGCATAAATAAAAGATTCTTCTCGATTTTGGCTTCTACCATCGTTCTTTGGCCAACTCTGGATAATAGTGCTTAGTTTCGCCCAGAGTCAAATCTGAAATTTCTATAAGAATTAAGTTCCCTCGGTCTCCGCACTTGCTGTCCACAAAGCTCATTGACCCTTATTCAACTGCGGATACTTGTGGCACAGTGCCTTAAAGAAGTCACTTGACAGATCTGATATTAGTTCTGCGTTAAAAATGCATTAAGCCTTGGTACAAATTAATGGTTTATTTTTTTAAATCTAGGTTTATAAATTAAGTTATATTTTTTTGAAGCTAATTGAACTATTTATTTATCAATACATTATTAAAATGAATTTATTCAAAGAAATAAAAATGTTAACATAATTTTAATGTTTTAAAAAAGTCCCTTGACATATCTGATATTACTTATGCATTAAATAGAAAGGATAAGACTTTGATAAAAATGAAAGCTAAATAAAATATTACATTTTAACAAAAAAATATTTAAACGAATTTTATTATAAAAATTAATATGTTAACAAGCTGTAATTCCAAGTAAATATATTTATTTTGAATATGTGAGATGGGTTTATAGTGCTTAAGTCTTTTCCTTGCAATGTTTTTCTATTTAATGGTTTTAAATAATTTGATAGCTATCTGAGGTACACAATCTGTTTACCGGCACTGTAGCTTACTTGTCCGCTGACTGGCGTCAGACGGCTTCCAGATTTAAGCGTTTACCCACAACTATCTGCATAGGTCCACACTTTTTTAGGAACGACAAAAAAACTGATTGTTCAAACTTACTAACCTTTTTTTATTTCAGCAACAAGTTGAAAATTCATGTAAATTTCTCGACAACAATGACAAAAAATCGAAAAGAGCCAGCCTCAACATAAAAACAGATAAAATATGTTAATAAAATAAAAAAGAGTGTGTTGGCGGCACATGCCTTTATTTTATATGGTAATAATTTAAGGCACTTCTGTAATTACAACTAAGAAAGCAAAATACTGCAGAGTGAGTTGCTGAAAACGTGCTAAGTAGTTGGCTATTGCATCCGATGAGTGTTCAAATCGATTGAGATAAATGAGTCATCTGAATGATCGGGCTCTTTCCCCGATTTCAAAACATGAAAGTTGACGAGTTGTTCGGTTGTCAGTTTTCGGGTTAAGTTTATCAGCTGTCCCATTGTGGTCACTCGCCATAAGTTGGCTATATTTTTGTAATTGTAAACAACTGCAATTGGCCCTAGGTGCAAATATAAATAGGCGAGTGTGTGTGTTACTGGCAGGTGTGCGTATATATTATATTGGCCTGGAGTTTAAGTGTGAATTTAACACAGCGAGGTTGGTTAGTATTATATGTGTTATTTTTAAAATATAAAAAAATTTAATAAAAATAAAATACATAAAATGTTGGAAATAAAAAATAAAGTTATCTAAAATGTGTAAACATATTAAAAAACATGCTTAAAAAACATATTAAAATGTTGACTTATTCATCATAAGATGTATACAAAAACTAAATCCCAGCTCCTTAATTTTCAAACTTTTGGCTACAGTGTACAATAATTAAAAACTAAACAATACAGGTGAAGTAATAAAAGATTTTTTTATAAATTTCGAAATTTGGAAATAATCGAGGAAGGTTTAAGATAAAAATCGATTTAATAAACAGTTTCTAAAATAATGTTTTACTTATCTGCCTGTCTGTTCCAGCTAGCTTTAGACTTTAAAGGTTGGGGGGGCGAAGCGACTTGGAATCCGATGAACACCATAACTTAAAAAGTGTGTTCCTATATTGTTTAATCTTTTTGTCGGTAGATTTTACATTATAATTTTCTAATGATCCGTTCTCCAGTTATCATGTCTACTGGATGGATCTCTTTTTGGACTCTCCGAATATTACTAAGCATACATGTACCTAAAATGTACCTAAGCTAAATAAATCATTCCAAATATAAAAAAACATTAAAAACACCATATTTTTTGGACAAAAGCCCAATGTAATGTCTTTAACTATTTAAATACTTACCCTGATGTCAAACCCTTTCGAACTCTGCGAATAGTCCTTTGCCACGCCTCGCTAGCATTTTCAGGGCTTTCTGTCGCCCACGCTTATCAAAGCCATTTTGGCCAAGTCCAGGGGCAAAGTTGCCAGGGCCACAAACCGAGCTGCCGGCCATAAACACAGAGTCACAGAACTGTGGAGTTCGGGGAGGCGTTGGAATCTGTGGCACATAGAGCACACAACACGAGCACCAGGCTCGGTGGCTTATGTTTTATGCGGGTTAACGCTAACGTTGTCCACTGGGCGGGTCAAAATTCTGGGAAGGCCCGAACCAACAGCCCGATCCCATTCCCAGTTCCATACCCAGTCCCAATCCCAACCGGTGAGAACCCACGCCTGGAGCAGCCGGCTTGGCTTTAACACCATCTCGTTCGATGTTCCGAATTTCGAGGATGTCCACCGATGGCTGCCCGGATGCGGGCAATCAAAATCTGTGGCCTACTTGACTGCCAGCTATTTGGACACGATTTTGAGTTTGCCTTAGTTTGGCCAACGGTTTTCCCCCAAGCGTCAAACGGAACAGTTGGCATTCCGCCCACGGGCCCCAAAAATCACCCAGCCAACCAGCCACCCGCAGCCCCAAATTCGGCTAATAAAGACAGGTGCGCTGTTTTAAATTCCATTTTTTCTCAGTTTTATTTTGCTTAAAGTTCTTTTTGGTTTTAATTGTCTTGGTTTTAAATACTCGTTTCATCTATTTGATTCAGTGCGTCATTATTTTAAGGTTTTCCTTTTTCATATACGTATAATATCTCTATATAAATATTTGTTTAGTTTTATTTATCATACAAGTGAAACTTACGCTATCCAACGGCGAAATGAAGTGGGGGAATTTGAAAACATCGAACATAAGACATGATCTCCTTTCCCATTGGGTTTCTATCTTGAGTTTTAATTAAATATGCGTAGACTGTACGCCGTCTGACTATTTACACAGCTGTCTGTATTTTATTATTATTTACCATCTCGCGCACAGTTTTCTTCTCTTTTCGTCTACGTTTTTTCGAACATTTCAAATAAATTACATGCAATGTTTTATGCGCGGTCATAATTCAATTTCTTCACTCGCTCTCTTTTTATTCGTATTTTATCTTTGGGTTCTACTTTAAACACAGTTGGCACAGAAATTTCCATAGTTTGGTTTGGTTTGGTTGAGAGAAGGAACTGAACCGAACTGATGATTGAGATGTGAGTGTTTTGTGTGACAATGGTGGCCAACGAAGTAGTTTCAGCATGGATCGATCCACTTCCAGCTGGTCCTAAAGCTACCTATTAAATGCACTGCCAACGGTGTTCCTTATATTTTGTTGCATCCTCAACTTCCGGCAGCAAAAATGCATTTTGGCCTATGCGCCATTTTAATTAATTTAATTTGTTTTCGTTTTCATGTATTTTTCAGTATTATTTTATCCCTTACTTGAATGCGTGTAAAATATCCTATACGTATGCCGTGGTGTGTGTCTGGAAACAATATTTCTTTGTTTTTTATTAAATTGTACAAAGTGCGTTTCGTTCGTTTTTTCTTTCTTTTCGGCTATAAATATTTAGGTTATTTGCTATCAAAAAATGCCAACCGAAAATGTTTGATTTAATTTATGTATATACTTCCTTTTACCTTTTTATGCAGACTAAATCATATATTTTTTTATACAAATGCTTTTCGGTTGGATTTGAAATTTTAATGGGTTTTTATGGATGTGAACTCTGCCTGCAGAGGGCAGAGGTTCTTAAATTTTTAAAATTCTCATTGCTGCCAGTGAATGTTTTGTTTCAGTTTTATAATTTTTTCCTAGTTTTAGTGTCTATAAAATAAAGTACTTATGTCTTGTTTTACGCTTTTTGTTTGGTGTTTGCTTAATTCTACTGCAACTGCCAAAAGTTTGATTGTTTATATGGGTTATGGGCCGTGACTTAAACGCTAGTTTTGCGTACAGTTTATTATTACTCTTTGCATGTAGTTTTTACAAAGTCTAAATACCTTTAGGAATATTACTTAATGCAGCTACTTATGGGAAACAATTTGTGTTCATGTTACGAACATAAATGCTGACATAAAACAAGTAATTGCTCGACAGAAATATTTACATTGATTGTTTTGTTTTATAATCCTTTGGCAGTTCTCTCGATTAAGATGAAAGTGAACATATCTCTGGCTTGGAGTTCTACTTAATTCATTAATAACAATTGCATTTTATTAACTTGTATCGACTTGTATATAATAAACCACTAGGTGATGTCCTTTGCTTATGTGTTGTGCTGTACGATAAAAACCCAAAAGTGCTGCCATCTTAATAGTCTATATAGCTAGTACCTATACAAATATGTGTATATCATACCACGCATCCGGCTGTGAGTATT